TAACTTGGCTTTACTACGAGATGAGTTTCTTTTTCAAATATAATTTTTTGAAAAATATTCAAAGAACTCAAAAATGAATAATCAAATAGGTAAACAAAAATGAAATACTAGATAAACAAGCATGTTTTTCGATAGCTTTTCCTGAGTCTTCAAAAAATCCGAGATTTCGAAGATAATTTTTTTACGAAGAGTATAGCAGTAGTTGTGACTTATCCAGAAACATCTTTGAAAACCTTCCAAAAAGTCACAGTTTTCAAAAAAAAATCTAAAAATTCTGCTGTTTTTGATAACCAGGTTTCTCTAGTTAATTTACTGGAAAAGTAAAATTAAATCTTGGGTTTTTTCCCAAAAAAGAGATTGACTGGCAATCTTGAGCCTCGGTTTGAGGTTTGACGCCATAGAGTTCAGCTGCCAGCTTTCTAGAGATGAACTGCCGTTGTCTGCTGGAGATAAATTTGCATTGTCAATATATGCTATTTGTTATGATTGTCATAAAGCCCATTTGTCCTCCTCGCTCTTCCGTCTCTCCAGTTTTATCGATGAAACTCCGAGAATTCTGAAGGGCGAAGAAAGAGGGCGGAATAAGCGGCGCCGACGCGTGGCGCAAAACGAATCCGGGTAGAGGAAAGGCATTTATGCACGACACATTCCACTTACACATCCTGTGCCCCATATGGCTCGTGCTCAGTTTGAGCATTCTTTTTCTTTTCTTTTTCTCTTCCTTCACTTTCCTTACTCAACATCTGATGCACTTACAAAAAATGAGCAACAAAAACCTTCTTTTCAGCTTCAAATCATTCAAGATATCACACTACAATGCCACACTACTCATAGTTATGTTACCGTACTATGATACATCAGAAATAGAGCGGCAGTGTACATCTTCCTTACTCTTCTATAACAAGAAAAACAAAAAGCGTCAAAAACCTTTAGTTACACCTAGCACATTACTCTTACAATAATCTCACATTGAAACTAGCATTTTAGTACCTTTCCTCTTACAAAATGCAATATAACTACAAATTTTGTCTTTAGGTTCAAATTCTTCCGGTAATTTGTACCTTTGAAAAAGAATGGAAGCTTTTAACTACCACTATCGGCAAATACAGTACCTACAGTAACTCAAAAAAATGCAACGGTCCTATTATTATGTGCTTAATAATAGACAATACACCACAATTTTCGGCTTTCACTTTTTCAGCTATTTTGTATTCAAAAACTGACCTGCATAAAATGAACACTAAAAAGGCTTTCTTTTCCCCTCGTATGATTACAAAACATCCCTACAATACCACATTATGGGTACACTGTTTTAAACTCAATTTGATCAATATAAAAACTTTAGTTGCAGCTACTTTCCAGCTATGATGTCGTACACTACTATTACAGTACTGCTACAGTACTGCGATGCTATTTTTAGGCAATACAAGATTACTGCAATATAGCTGCTTATCTTTTCAAACTTCCCTAGTACAATTTGGCTATAGCATCGAATCAGACTGTGATACCCCTACAGTTCTGATACAGTAAAACTGCAGTTCTACAATAGGTATATGTAACAATTACTGATATTTCTGCAATATTATGATAATGTTTTACATAGAATATGCGCAAATATTCTTATAATACAATATTTTTCTTCTTATATTCCTCATGTTAGATCCTTCAAAAATTGGCTAAATTCGCTACTTACGATTAATTTTTTATACGTATGATATTAGCACATGTATTAGGTTGTAAACTAATTTACATTTTATTCAATAACTTTCCTCTCACTCAGCATGGCGCACTCAAATTTTGCCATCCTGTTGGTTATGATATGAGCTACAAGTTTGCTACTGTTCTACCAAATTCTGACGCCGCATTGAGGTTTACGGTAGGTATATGGTATGGGGGAAAAGATTATAAAACTCGACAGATTTGGTTGAAACTTGGTTAGGGAGGGGGGTTATGCGACATGCTTGTCAGGAAAACGATAATTAGGTTGCGTGTTAAGGGCTTTTTGTAGGATTACTGTAGGTGTACGATACAGGGTCTCACCTTAAACAAGGAAAAGGCGTTGATTTAATAAATGAATATGATATTCGTATTTAGCAGGTCAGAGGACCTCAATATGTAAAGTCTCGGGGAATTTTGTGGCTCTGACTCCTTAGTCATTGACGGCTGTCCCCAGCAGCCTTGTGTACAACGACTTGTTCGGATTTGTGAGGGCGCCAAATCTCGACTTGCCCCTAAATTTTATTTCTTTTCTGGTGAGCCGAATGAGTCAACCTCTAGCAACAAATCTTACGCGACTCTGGATTATTGCGCATGGTTTAAGCTGCTAACGGCGTCATTTTGGCTTAAAACCCCAAAAATTCTCAACATTCACTAGTTAATAGAAATTGACTGGAATTTTTCTAAATCGTTTTCAAACATCAAACACTCCAGAGAAATTGTAGCTCAAATCACGCTCTACGTATTGCCAAAATTTGAGTGCGCCACATCTAAAGAGAGTTGAGTTATGAAAGTAGTTGCAAAACTTAGTTTCCAGCTGATAAATGAACTAATGTCTTCTCTTTTGACATTTCATTTTCCTCTCTTTCTCCTTTTTTTCCTTACCATCTTCCCTGCTGTCTGCTGCTGCGTTTTTGCGCATGCTTGCTCTATCTTGATGTAAAAGGGGAAAGCGTGGTAACTCTCTCATCTTTGCAGCGATAATTTTCGTAAAATAAAGATACTTCCGTGATTTTGATACTACAGTAATACTACAGTAATGCTACAATACAATCACTACACTGGAAAGCAGTACGGCCAAAACTCTTCCTAGCTCGCTTTCTGCGCTAAATCGAAAGTCGTTGAAAAACATTCATAGATGTCCTATTCATCAAAGCAATTTCTAACTCTTTTTTTTCACTTTCTGGTAGAATGCACAAGAAGTGGAATTTGGTCTCATTTCTATCAAAAGTTCTATCTTTATCACAACGACAGCACATAAGATCAAACACCGTACCCTAATTTAGCCTATCATGATTTTTCTCTGCGTCACAGTACTTTTTCCGTAATTGATGCTAAATTTGGCATGTCTGGACGAAACTAACTTTCACAAAAATGCCCAACGACGTCATTCGATTACCCAATGGAATGGTAATTTAGCATGCAAATTTCGAATTTGGGCCACATTTCCTTTCACCCACTTCCTTGCGTCAGGTCACGTAATAGTAAAAGGCTTCAAAAGTGGTATTAATGCTATTTTCCTATATTGGTGACTAGTAGGCGTAGGGGGGAAGGGGGGGGGGGAGGAGTGCGTATTCAAATCCGTATTAGTTCCTGTTGTCCCTAGAGCTTTTTGCTTGGTCATTAGTATATGGCTAAAGTTTATTTTAATGGTGAGAAGTATAATATAAAGTATTTGCCAAAGAGAAAAAGAATTTTAACATTTATGAATCAAGCTAAATAAAAAAATAGTTTCTGAGATGCAATAGTAAATAAATACTCACGACACCGTATAATTACAATTTTTCAACCAACAGCTGCTGAAACTTTCTCTATTTATCGATTTTTTAGCTAACGACAATCGCATCCAGGAAATGGGAAGATTATACATCATTAGTTTACTACAATAATCCCATCCCCTTTTCCTTACTAAACTAATTCCGAACTTCTACTGAACCAATTTTCCAAAATGGCCAACCATAACTTTAAACTTTGATCCCATAAAATTTCCAAGAAAGTTTTCCCATCAGCTTTATTGGAAAAGCTTTTCCGTGAAAGCATCACCAGCCTAGAAGTGCTCTTTGCTTTTCTTTCCAAAGTGCTCCAATCCATTTCAGTCGCTTCGTTCATCTTCAAAGTAATCCGATTCGGGCTCCTTCTCTAGTTCAAGGCTTTTGTACAAAAATGCGAACCCGGAAAATTTCTGCTGAATCTGGCGCTAAGAGATATTGTACATTTTTACTAATATTTCTACATTATAATGCAAAAATTCAAAAATTCGCGAATTAAATGAACTTTAAAAATTATTTTATAAAAGCAATGGAAATTTTTATAGATAATTATTGAATAATCATGAATAAATGATACAAAAAGAAAATAAATCATATATTCACCATAACTGTGAGAGATTACCTGAAATTTGGCTTCTCATCAATGCTACAGTACTCCTACCGTAATTCCGCTGCATTAAGGTTTATGACTTTTCTTTGCTACCAAATTATGTACCTAAGGTAGAGACACCAGATTCGCAAAAATCAATACTCTGAGCACAAAAATCGCAGGAGCGCGGGGATAGAAGAGACGCAGACGGCTAAAGCGCACTGCCGCTTCGTACGCAGCGTATGCGTTGTCTGCGTCAGCGACTGTACCATGATAAATACCCTAAAATGCTATATTTTCTAAATAGCTTAATGTGATACTTTTATTATCGTTTATATCGTTGACGTTCATTCAATAAAAAAGTACTTTTCCAAAATTTCATGCAAATATTGAAAAACATCAGCAGTCATGCGGAATTTATATATCATACGCTATTTCTTTTACATATTGCGTGACTTCAGCAACGAAACCTTGAGATGCATGACTAAATATTCATGAAATTCCACCTCTATATTCACAAAAATGAATTTTCAAAAAACGTTAGGCTCCGACACGCAGCTTCGCATCCGGCCTTTATTGCAATTTCCAACATTTCCACTCTCATACCATTTTCTCATTCAGCCCTTTCTCGTTCCCACATATAATTTTCCAGCTTAATTGCTTCCATTTTCCATCGTTCCTTTGGAATTTCTTTGTTATCTCTCGTCCTTAAACGAAAGTATAGCTATCCATGTTCATTTTCAGTCACTTGCCTTGAATTTGTGACGTGACCGTCATGAGGTGACACTACACGAAATCTCTAGAGATTACGGTATTCCTACGGTATTCACTGAATTCGCTCAACTAAGCATAAAGGACCAAAACAATCAAAGAAATTATGGTGGTGGATAATGCTCAAGCGTTGTTGACGTCATCGTTTTTTATAGTGCGAAAGCTGTCACAAGCGTTCTTCAACGCACAACATGGTGATCAAGTCGGTGAGTGGTGTATCGCTTTTATCGATTGATTTGGTCTGTTGTGATCGATTTACATGCTTTGTTTAGTACATCAATATGCATAACATTCCTCGTATACTCACACTCAAAATGATGAATTCCGCGAATCCTGCGAATCTCGCGAGTTCTGGGAATTTCGCAAATTTCAGAAAATCCGCGAAAAAATGATATGCATTCCGCAGTTATAACTCTTGAATTCAAAAATATAAATTTGTACTGAATGTTGTCTTTGAAAATTCTTCTTCGTGAATGAAAATAAGGAAATTTTCAAAATGAATCTTTCTAATTTAAAAATGTTTTTTTCTTACATTTAGACCCTTCTTCCTAAGTCTTCCAATGAATATAGTACCTTATTCAACTTGGGAAAAAATATTATCTGCTGTAATCAATTGCTATTTTTTATTACATCAATATGTATATACGCTTTTCTATTATTATACTCAGACATAGAGAAGGGTAGCAAACCTTTTTTCTTCAAAAATGTAGAAAATTTGTACAGCTCATCTGCGTTATGAGAAAAAAATTTTTGTTGTTGGAAATGGAAAAATTTCTGGAACAATCTTTTTTATCTTGCATCTTCTCCTGTTTTTCCAATCCGTTCATCAATATTTTACTCGAAACTGAAGGCTCCGTCCACGATTTGACCAGAATTATGTGCAACGATTTGTTACCTACTGTAATTTACAGTAAGACTCTAGCATGCAAAGGGACCATAGTGTTTTTGGTTAGCGAGTCAGGTGTAGCCAACGTAAGCAAACTTCAAAAATCGGATCTCTTCGATTATGGTATCTTTAGCATCTTTTTTTCCAAACAATTTCATCCTAACTCTACTCGAAACGAAGCCTTGTCCACAAGATGCATTGGTAAAAGTCATATCCATACAGTATCCATTATCGGCAGTTAGCATGCTTCCCAACTTGAACAGGGAAGTTGCCTAACGTAATCAATTCGTATATTTCGTATTGCTCATTAATCTTCATAATTTTCATGGTATACATGCCCATAGGAAGTTTAAAAAAGACCTCTTGTATCCTTCAAGGATTTCTTTGAGAATTTTGTGGCTGAAATTCAAAAAAATATATATTCTCAAGAATTGCTTTTTTATTTCGTCATGACTTTCCGAAACTTTCTAGCTGTCACCCTACCTCCACTCAAAATTGAAAACCCCTAAGTAGTGAAGCTGAAATGCACTGTTGGCAGTCACCCTCATTACAGTATCCTACAGAATCTTTCGCAACTCAAGCGCGAAAATCTGCACATCTGACGCATTTTCACGCTTGTTTTATGTCTCGCAAACAAGATGATTATTGAGAAAGTGCTGCTGTCCTTGTGTTTATCTGTGCACAGCATTTTGGTTTAAGCCTCAAAACAATCTCCTCTACTAGCTTGAATAGATCTGATTTGCAATTAATCTATAATGTTAGTTTGGCCAATGAATAATTTCGCTCGTTTATGCGGCGTATACAAACTCAGACAAATTTTATGCCCAGTATCCGTTATAGCTGGAAAGAGCACTTTAATGAGTGGAATGTACAAAAATCTGTTTGAGTAGAAATCAATTTCTAGTGAAAGAAATTCGCAGAGAAGTGGTAAATTCTAGTTTTCTTATTGTGCGCAAAAGTGCGAAAACTTGGTTTTTTTGGATAGAGTTGAGCTTTTGCTTCTTTTGGTCCACTAGCTTATACCGTCACCTTCAATTTTTCCTTTAGGTTCGCGTTGAGAGGATTAAAGCACAGGCTATATTGATCCACTTGATCCACCTGATCCACTACATCCACTTCGCTATTGTCAAATCAGTGAACTGACCAGCAGCGAAGCGGATGAAGTGAATCAAGTATGATTCGTGTCTAGGAGCGAAAAATGCTTTCGTGAATTTTTTATAGATTGCGGCATGTGCTGCAAATTTATTAATGATTCTATTAAGACATTTCTGCACTGAAAGCTGTGGTGCAGAAAGAAAATTGGTGAAATTAGGGATTCTTTAGCCTGAACAGTATTCCACTTTTGTGTCTTTAGCAAAAAAGTTAGTCAAGTGGTTTTTTAAAGTGAATTTGAGACTAGGTAACGCTAAATTACATGCGACTGCTTAGCTCCATCATAGCCCTTCGACCAAATTGATAACATAAAAAAAATAATTTCCTTGGAGTGTCACAGAAATCTGTGAAGCTGCATTGTTGGGTAGATATGTGCAAGAGATGGTGATTAATGAGCATAGAGAGTGAAAAAACATTTTTCAAAGAAAATCACGAGTTTATACCACTGAAAAGAGTGAATAAGATGCAAGTCTCGCATACCCTTTGATTCAACTGGCTTGGCGGATGGAAGGCGGGGCTTCATGACCCAATTAAGGCTAGGTACTCAGAGAGCACGTGCGCGGGAGAGACACAGGCTGCATCGCGGACGCGAGCGGCCTTGATTAGGTCACAGAGCCCCGCCCTCCAGCAGCCAAACCAGTTCAATCAAAGATTAAATAGGGTCTTTATACTCGAAAACTACCACTAGAACTTTATCCAGCAGAAATCTATGAAAAAGCTGACACAAACCTCATATGAATGGATCTTTCGTAAAGTTCGCTGGTCTAAGAAAATAAAGAATATATAATTCAGCGATTAATGCAAATCTTAAATGATTATGATTCGCATAAGCTGCATTTTTAACTTTTTGATAACCTAGAAAGTTCGATTTGGTAATCTCAATCTGCAAAAGAGGAACTGATAAACGACGTACAGATGCGTCGCTTTTGCAAAATATTAAGGGAAGATCTCCTTTAAGAAGCTTTTATTCATGCATTTTCCTGTAAACAGAATTTGTAGAAAGTGAAAAAGCATGTGACGCGGCTGTTGTGCCATCTTGCCATCTTAACTTATATGAATATTTCTTATTTTTCGTGATAGCTGCATTTATATCCGTTGCATCGGGTTACATTTTCAAAATAGTAAGATTACTGCTTTCAAATTGTGCTTTCCTTAGAATCACGAGTATACTTATTGAGACATCTCAACTATCACCTTATCACATGTGGGAAGCCATGTCGGCGTTAAGTACATCTTACTGTACTTAACGCAAGAAATGTAGAGAATAGTGCTGGCCTTTTACTTTGGTAAAGTTTATGCCTATCATAATGTAACCTTTGAACAATGAAAATATCAATTTTTACTCCTTCGTACCTCATTATCTGGTCGTGAAGGGATGCTCGGTCTCATTAAGCCAGTTCTAGGTAAGCTGCTCAATATGCCATTATCTTAATTACTAGAACAACTTACCTGCAAAAGAACAATCTCTGTCAGATCTTGTATAGGTTATTTATAAAATCGTGACGACGGATTTGACTGCGGCCTTTACGCACATAGGAGCGTAAAACATATAGAGTATCCAGTATCTAAATCCTATCATAAGCAACCAAAAAACCACTCGAATATGGATGGAAACCAATAAAATGCATTTGCCGGAAGTGCGTGCTATTGCGCGCGGTCGAGCCATTCTCACGATTTTTCCAATGCCCTATGCCCTGATCTGTGGGTTGGGCTGCAAAACAACTTTGATCACTTCTGCAGTGTTACAATAGTTTTTTCTCTTCTTCATTTAACTCCTTCCATCATTTTTCTAATAAATCATGTAATCAAATCGTTTACTTCCTACTTTTTGTTTGTTGCAAACGAGCTTCAGGGGATCGAGTGTATTTTGCGATACTTAAAAAAATTTTGCAGAAGCTAATTTGAAGTGACTCGCCTTTATTTGGAACTGATTAGAAAAATTTTGTAAATATTATAAATATTAAACTGATAATCTATAGCAAGCTCAAGAAGAATCTAAGCAGTTATTCAGATAATTTTGAAGTGGCCAAGGTCAACTCTCTTTTTTCAAAGAAAAACCGTGCACTTCTTAAAACGTCTTCTCTTTTGACCTACATGATCTTATTATCAAAGTCACGGATGTCCATAGAGTTTCTTCTGGATTCAATTCTGGCTTCTTTGAGAAAGGGCAACGGAGGAAGAATCAATGGAAAGCGCACATCTTACAAAAAGTTTCAGTAGGTTACATATTCCTTTTAGTATAAGCCTTTTCATTATATTTTTGCCAGTATACCCTTTTTCAACTTTTTTTGAAGTGTAGGCCGTAAAAGTGAGGCGTAACTTTTACTCTAACGTAAGTAAAGATTTTCAAGTTTGTTTTAAGGCTGTACCAACGGTGTGAGACAATGAGTAAATATGAATTGCGGTTACAGTATCCCTACCGTACTGCACTCTACTGCATTTATTTTGCCTAAGTGTACTAGCTTTACTAATTTTACTACGCTTTTCGTCAAATGGTGAATCAAAAACCAAAAATCTGCGAATAACCAAGAAGACGTTCAAATTTATGCTACTTCGCATTTAAAAAAGGCTTATAAATAATTATTTTCAAAATTGCGCAAGATAAAAGATCTTATAAAAAAGTAAAAGTCATAATTATCCGATTACATAATCTACATATTCGTATTATAAGAAACTCTTCGTTTTGTTCTACGTAAACATCCTAAGTAGTCGAGTTATTGCGTGTTTTGCAATAATTACTCCTCTGTTGGCACCCTGCCAAGTGTGCCCAATACTCCGCACTTCCTGTTTCTCTCGAGGGCTTCGACATCCTGCCTGGAACGACTTTCATCTAGTGAGCGCACAATCATTCCACATTTGGCTCTGCCGCCATTCTTTTTGGATTTGAACTTTTATTTTTGTGCTTGAAATTTAGGATAAATGTTTCAAATATCGCCCTAAAAGAAAAATCCTTCTTTTTCTTTCTATGTTGAAAATTTTTAACCCAACTCAGTACTAACATAAGACTCTTCCCTAGATGTGTCTGCGTCTCTGACTGACAGTCCGTAGAAAACTCGTTCTCTTGTAGAGAAATCCTAATTGTTCGACTCCAGGTCAAATTCAAACCAATGTTCGAAAATAGCTTTGCGTAAATAAAAAGGTTAACAAGAAATGATAAACAGTTATGCA